CATCCTTGACAGTGCCTATGCCTTTGTCATAGCAGATTCCGACATTAAATTGTCCATCTGAATTGCCACCTTCAGACAAATTTATGACTTTACGAATTTTAATGCAGCAGACTTTAAATACCGCTCGAATTCTTCTTTTTCCATCCTTGGCTGTGCCTGTAGCAGATTCCGACATATTTATAGTAGAATCCAAGAGCATATTGTAATAGCAATTCAAATTACTTTTTATTCAGAGATTACAGCAGATCATTTTGTTACTGGTCAGCTATAATTCCTAAGCCTAACGCTAATACTGTTTATATAACACCGGATCAGTATAGTACGGATTCTAAAATTCGACCTGTACCATACTGATTTGCATTCCTGATAACTTTTATAACTTTTGAATCAGAAGTGCAAAATAAAATTTATCTATATCAGTGTTTGATCTGTCTATCATCACGTGATTATTTGTATCACGCTACCCGTTGTTCGACAACGAGTTGAAACACCTAGTTTTATAAAGTTTAGAAGTTACCACTGATGGATTGATAAAATATTAGAAAACGAGTTTAGTATCGTTTATTGCAAATTTGTCAAATGAACTAGAATATATGCAATCTTCGTAGTGATCGTTATAATTTTGCCATAACCGTCTTTATCGTAATGGTTCAGAAAGTATGTAACTTATAATCCAGGTTATATTGTTTATTAAGTGAAGTAGTCTGGTGAAATTAATAACTGCTAAATTACGTGCATTTGAATTTTTGTATTTAGTGCTTCGGTTGAATAATTCGCTCAGATCAAGTTATTTCATGCCGACGAAATATTCTTAGACTTTGAAAAGTACCAAATTGCTGCGGTATGTAATCTATATATATATATAATATATATATGTATAATATTTTGATTTGTAAACTATATACGTACGTACGTACGTACGTACCAAAATCACCGTTCTTTATTGCCTGTTACCGTATATTTAATTTATACAAGTCACAGGAACAAAATGAAAAATGAAAAATGAAATTTGAATAGAGAATAATATATTTAAAATGAATGTTAGACACGCAATATTGTTACCAAGATCTACTTGAATATCAGATACAGTATTACGTATTTGCATGATTTCATCCTAGGGGGATTCAACTCCGATAATGCAAATAGACAGTTAGACTAAAAAAGCATGGTTTGAAATTGAAAACTATAGGATGAGAATTTACCCAGTGTATGTATAAAAATATTTAATAGAACCTAAATTTAGAATGTATTATTACGAATTATCGGATAATTATTTTGAACTTTAATTTTGAACCTTATTTTCATTTGTCTGAATCATACGTACCGCAGTAACTTTTTAGAATTATGAATGAATATTAGAATTTCACCAATATTAAAAGGGAATGAATTATCCGATTTTTTTATTGCATAAAAAAATACTAGTTAGGGAATTTTTATGATTCATATGAAACTTGAAACTTGTACGTACGTACGTACGTACTTACGTAACGAATGAAAAACATTCCGTTAACGTAACGCAATCCGTATATTATCTATCAAAATTAGGATATTTGATGATTGTTATACGTATTCATTATATAGTATGTTTGTACTTGGTTACCATTACGCACAATTCCCAAATCTGACATATTTGATTAATAACACCAACATTTTAATTGGAAATAATAGCCAACCAGTTTTCATAACTGGATGTCATACGGAACAATTACTACACGACGAAGGTTTCTCGGCCGATATTGCACATACAGTAGACATCGTGCAAATATTTATGCGAAAGGTTCATGTCAAGGTCACACGATGCTTCCATTCGAGCTTCATTCGAGCTTCATTCAAGCTTCCATTCGAGCTTCATTTCAAGCTTCATTGTGAGATTGCGGCTTTGCTTAAATGAAAATTAGGAATTTTATACAATATATAGATATATAGATAGATATATAGATTACGTAACGAGTTATGCATAAATGAAGATTTTGAGATCAACATTTTTTCCCAAAGGTTTCATTATACATTGTACAGTACAGAGATAATCAATGATTAGAAAAAGTAATTGAGCAAAAGAATGGCTTATTGAAGGCTTAAAAGAGGATTTAGGGGTAACGGTAAAAAAAGAAAAATCTATTAATATGTACAATATATTCAACTGCTATATTAGGTTAATTAAAGTTACGTGTTTTTTGTTAATATTGTTTTACGGATTACGCAGAAGAAAGTAATATCGATATGTGAAACCAAATTACTATTAATAAATTACTATTAATAAATGAATAATAATTTTAATACTTTGACGTAGCAAATTGATTAACTGATTCACATATGCACATACTGACTGTAATCATATATCAGATATCGACTTACGTACGTAATGTTTAATGACCCCTTAGACGAAGTTATAAAGATAACGACAAACGTCGAATATAAATGTCACAGTTTATATGCACATGACTAAGAAATGTGGCAAAACACAACTCCGTGTCAGTCTGCAAATAATCTTAGGGAGTTAAATTCCGGACCAATAAATACATATATATTAACTATATATTAACTTTAAGTGTTAAAATAAACTTTCATGTGGTACTATATGTGATACTATATGTGATACTATATGTGATACTATATGTGATACTATATGTGATACTATATGTGGTACTATATTGACCTTTTTGAGCTAACGCCAATTATCATATTTGCCAAATATGTTGGTTTATTATATTTGTTTCAAATCAAAAAAAGTTTAAACTCTACCTGTCGTGACCACTTTTTCGACAAGTAAGCCAAGTCATATATCGGTGTAATTTTTATGTGATCATTTGAAACGTAATGTATACTTGTATATATATAAACATATCTTGTTTTTCTCGATTTTCTTTTTTTTTTTTTTATGATTTAATGTTTTAATATTGTAGTCCGGTTAATTCCGTCGCAACCTATCTTTTTATTTTTTATGTTACTCGATTTTTTTCATTTTCATTGAGAAATTTGCTTGATTCTTGGCTTAGTTACACTTGAATAAACGCTTAGTAATGTATGAACATTTGAATTTCCATAAATTCTTACCCAATTTTTTAAAAAAACGACCCAATAATTCAGTGAACACAAGCCAATCTACTCGACCAATAAATGATGATACAAAAATAAAGCAAAAGTTTTCCTTACGTCAAGGCTTCAAAAAGGCCCCCATGTATATCAAGAATCGTGCAAGGTATTGCAAATCGTTACGTATTTAATATTTCCATAATTAATTTCCATATTAATTCCGTAAATGAAGATAATATCAAAGATATAAATGATATAAATGAATACGTGTAATATCATGAATATCATGATATCGATGAAAAATTATATAAAGCATGCAAAGAATTTTTTTTTCTGCAATCTTTACAAAAAGTTGCTTACCATAACAAGTAAAATTCTTGTTATCGTAACGAAACAAATATTAATTAATTCTTGCATACTACTTGATTGGTGCGCTACATTCGTACATACTTTAACTTACACGTAAACATTAGACTTGAACTCTATTAGAAATTATTAAAATTATTAAAATTATTAAAATTATTAAAATTATTAAAATTATTAAAAATTATTAAAAATTATTAGCGTTAGATATTCCATTTCATACATACGTATTTATTTCTATTTACTTCCATTTTATACTTATTCAAACACAAAAACGTTTAGTTAAAATTTTCGATTCAAAATATTTATTCAAAAATCTTAAAAAATTATTAAGAAACAATATAAATTTTCTTTTACATGTCTAGAATGACAATGGAAAAAATCCGTAATCTTACCAGAGGCGGAGAATCTACATACCCCTGGGATTTAGAAAAGAACTATACCATTTCTAATGTTCTTGGTCAAGGTTCTTTTGCTGTGGTTCGAAAATGTACCGATAAGCGAACCAATGTTGACTATGCACTAAAGATAATTTCAAAAGATGTTCTTAAAGGTAACCATCATATCACATGTCACGTGTCATTTTCTTATCGTCGTTATTGTCGCTAAAATATTTATTTGGATTTAATATTTACGTAGGAAAAGAGCAAATGTTAACTACAGAACTAGATGTTCTAAAACAGGTCAACCATCCACATTTAGTAACCCTACATGAGTTAGTTGAAACCAAAGATAATGTATATATCATCACCGACCTTGCTAGTGGTGGTGAATTGTATAGTCAACTTGAGCAAAGAGGAAATTATACAGAAAAAGATGCTGCTCACCTTGTAGAGCAGGTGCTCAAAGGTGTTATTTACCTACATGATCACGATGTATGTTTACATTTTTTATTAATCTTTTTAAAATATTTGTTAATATTTTTAAAATCTTTACTAATATTTTTAAAATCTTTATTAATATTTTTATAATATTTATTAATATTTTTATAGATTGTTCATAGAGATTTGAAACCGGAAAATCTTTTGTTCAGCGACGCAACATCTCCAAATCCCAAATTAATGATTACTGACTTTGGTCTTTCGAAAATCCTAAAACATCACGACGATATATTAATGACTGCGTGCGGTACACCGGGCTACGTTGCACCTGAGGTTTTAAGCCAAAAAGGGTTAGTTTCCCAAATTCCTTGATTTTTTATTAATAACGTTAACCAATTCTCTAATTTATCTAATTTATCCAGTTATTCGAAACCGTGTGATATTTGGTCACTTGGTGTCATTCTTTACACTATTCTTTGTGGATATACTCCATTTTGGGGTCATGATCAAGCTGCCTTGTTTAATTGTATTTTGAAAGGCAAATATGAATTCGATGAAGATTATTGGGATCATATAAGTAATGAAGGTAATATATCATTTAAAATAAATACTAAACTGTAAATAAATATATAATTATATATATATATAATTATATTTATTGATTTTAAATTTTCTTATCTTTTTTCAGCCAAGGATTTAATTAACAAGATGTTAACTTATAAGCCGGATGAACGAATAACGGCCCATGATGCTTTAAAACATCCTTGGTTTGAATACGCTGCTAAATTGAATATTGATAGTAACCATCACACACGCTCTGAGACCGTTTCTTATCCTCGCGCCACATTAAAATTAAAGAAAGCCATTCACGTTATTCAAGGTGTAACTAAAATGCGGAGAATAAGTAAAACTCTTGTGAATAAGTACCATAATATGTTTGATGATTATACAAATGGTGTTATTGGCGCTGGTGTTGGATACGTGACAAGCACTATCATTGAAGAAAATAATGGTTCAAATCTTAGTGCTTCTTCTCAACCATTAGGAAGTTCTGGCTTATTAGGTTCCGATCTTCCTGTGACTAGTTCCAACACTAAACCTATTTCTAATCTGTCAATAACGAATCAAAATCAACCTACTGAGTTTTACATGCATAGCAACAAATCTGGTTTAGATATTGGACATTTAACTACCAATAACTCCGTATCATCTTCACGTCCATTTTCCATTTCCCCAACTAGTCCTACTGCAAGCAATTCTAGTAAACACGCTATAATAGTATGATTTTCTTATATCTATATAAAACTCGGCCTGGGCCGTTTCATTTTATACATAGTATTTTTTTTATATAAATTATATTGATATGTATTTTATATACTTATCGATAGAAATAGCTGATCATATACATATAAATATATACATATATGTTTGATGTATGTATTTATATAAATGTATTTATATATATATATAGTTTTTGTATATATTTATTATTTGCTTGCTATACATATTTTCGTTTTTTTTCTACATAAAAAATTTTGAATTTTAAAGTTAAACGTTAATAAAATCATGGAATTATTGGACGTATAAAAAAAAGGAATCTATTATGTATATTACGTATTTTTGTGTATTTGTGTATTTGCGTATACGTACTGTATTTTGTTTCACATGTTCATCTCATGATTGATTAACGTTATTGAAAAACGGTAATCGTTATTTACCCGTTATCCGGCAAGCTCTTATGATCATAGATCTATTTTTTTTGTTGTTTTTTTCGTGTCATTTCATAATAATCATACGAAAGGGTGAAATCCGCTACATAGATCACATAAGGGTGAAATTCGCTTTTGCATAATAAAAAAAACATACGTAGCCTATAATCGTTATTTGAATTAAAACTCAGATAGCCAATGACGCCTTGAGAATCATTATCATTGAATTACAAACATTTATCATACGTCCAATAATTTGCCCAATTTAACAAATTTTGCGATATTTAATGTTAATCGATGCATGATCAATATTACATACTTAATTATTTACAAAGATTATGCAAGTGAGATAAACATAGTGTTACCCATTACATTTTTTTTCCATTTTTTGATAATCTTAACTATAACAATACGTAAAAACGTGTTAAAAAAAAAACTATTGTTATAGAAATAATAGAAAATTCTACGTATCGATAATAGCTTTGTATATAGTTCGAATTTATTCATACGTGAAGATCCATCGGAGATGACACGTATATATGTGATTTTCCTGAAAAATAATTATTTAATTTTACTTAATATTAATGTCAAATAATTCTACAAATTATTTTTGCTCATCTTTATTGTTCTTTCACCTAACCTATTGTTCGTAAAAAAAATACCGTTCCAGTGAATTCCGACACTAAATTTTGGGATTGCCTTGTAAAATCAAAATTTTCATTTTGAAAACTGAATTACCCACGAGTTCGGCGATCTGTTTCAGGAGACATTGTATGTAATCACATCAATATATAAACCCAATTAAGACAATTCTTCCTGAAGATAATTTATCTCAATTTGAAAAATGAGGTATCTTTGATTAGATAAATTTCATAGAACGCAGCTCACATTGTAGCAATCACCTGATTGTAGTCCGATTACATGATTGCGAAAAAAAATTATGAAAATATTATGAATTCTTTGTTCCTTGTTTCTTGTTCCTTTGTTACTGTGAGTTGCAACTTTGTTACTGTGATTGCAAAAAAGTGTGACACCTACAGATAATGACACCATATGAAATCACAGGAAATCGTTAGATTCCGGTCCTTTTTGATTTTAAAAATTTCGATTAATTATTATACTGATATAGACGTTATCGTTGTTGATTGATCGTTAGGCAATTTAGAATCTTCAAAATTTTCCGCAATCATCGTCATGAAAATCACAGAGTTAACTGTCAGAATAATAATCTGCAAATTTCGATCAAGGGCCAAAACCGCGATAAACCCATTATCGATAATATGTCTTGTTGAATATTTGTTTTAGATCGGCTAATAAGATCTCCACATGTCTAATATTATCAAATGATAAATTTATCTTCTAAGTTTGTCAGTTTCAAGATTATTTTATACACGTACAATAAACAAGTTACCCTTAACAAATTGCGGTTGCATATAATTTTTAGATTTTTATGCGTATAACATATGGCGAACCAACAGTCAAGGCTTGATTATACATGATAGATTCTGCAATATAAATTTTACATATTAGCAATTCTGTAATCTCAATAATAGAAAAAAAAAAAACCAATAGTTGAACAATATCTCGTATTTAGATTTCTATTTGAAGAATAAAAATAAAACATGACAAACCGTTTAAAGACCAGAAACTTAATAACCTTTTAAAAACCACGGTATAACAGAAAATTTAGTATCCAGTTATAAGATTCGAATATCGATTTTATTTATTCATTTAACTCTACTCATGTCATCTGGAATTAATTCAAGAGAGAATCTATAATCGATAAATTTTGTGATAAATTTTGTGATAAATTTTGTGATAAAATCGAATCATTCTGATCATGAGATTGATTTTTAGTGTAGGACAAATTCGCAATAATCACAAATTGGGGCAAAATAACTAAATTAATCGGCCAATTGATCACCTGACATTTGCAAACTGGGCAATCTTCACTACGAGTATGGAGAGCCTGGCACCAGCCGGATTCGAACCTGTACCTAGTGCAATGTACGGACCCGCGTTCTAACCGTTAAGCTATATCAGAATGATCACATAATTTTCGAAATGCACTCCTTATAATCAATAAAAATCTTGAATAATCGCATCTGATTGGATGAAATTTATTCAAATTGTAATTTTTTTCAATAAACCATCTAAAAAAATCGATATTTTAATTATATAGTGATATAGAATCAGAATAAAAAATTTTTCCATCAATTTTAAATAGATGGTTGTCGAAATATCTTCGCTCAAAGTTTAGAACAAATTTTACCACTTGTTTTGATAGTTTATTTGACAACCACCTATCTAAAATCGATAAAAAAATTTTTTATTTTACATATATATAGAATTAGAATAAAAAAAAAATTTCATCGATTTTAGATATCTTCGCTCAAAAATTTAAGCTTTTTTAGGTCATTTGAAGTTGATTCTTTGGTTAACATCACCTCTCTCCCCAGCTTATACAGCGTCGCCCAAAAAATGGTAGCCGGATTTTCTGCTGGCTTATATCGATTTCGAAACTGATTGCCGGTAAAGTTGTGTTTATCATACTTAAAAATAATAATTCGTTTTGATTTTCGTTGACTTTCGTCTTGACTTTGATTTTCACTTTGACTTTCACTTGACTTTCGTCTTGACTTTGATTTTCGCTTTGACTTTCGTCTTGACTTTGATTTTCACTTTGACTTTCACTTGACTTTCGTTTTGACTTGACTTTCACTTTACTTTCGTCTTGACTTTGACTTTCACTTTACTTTCACTGCGACTTTCATTTTGACTTTCACATTGATTTTCACTTTGACTTTCACTTTGACTTTCGCTTTGACTTCGTTTTGACTTTCGTTTTAATTTCCGTTTTGACTTTCATTTTGACGACTTTCATTTTGACTTTCACTTTGACTTTAACTTTCGTTTCACTTTCATTTTGATTTCGAGAATATTTACTGTATTGAATTTACAAAATAAAGTGCGTCATATTTTTACAAGCAAAACAACTCGTTTAAATAATAACTCGAACCAAACATGATAATTAGTTACATCGCTAAAATTATATAAGTTATTTAGTGCCTCTTATTGTTCGTGTTAAGTTGGATGGTGAGTGTAAAAGAACTTTTTTAATTTTTTTAATTAATTAAATGATTCAAGTTTGTGAGCATTTACTTATTTGATTTGCATTTAATCTAGCTAATTGATTAAGTATATACTTGTTCGCATTAATTTATTGTGGGTATGAAGCCCTTTATAAATAACTATCATTACATAGTGATGTTCATATCATTTTGTTTAGTTCCTGTTAAGTAGAAAGATTAAGTCTAAGGCGTTTGTACAATGTCAAAAAATTATTATCAACAAACTTAAAACACAAGTATTTTGATCGGGAATTAGTAAAATAAAAATCCAGAAATTCAGAACTGAATAATATATTTAAGCTAAATATTGTTTTAAGAAAATGGCTAGTCAGTTCTCAGAATGAATTCTGGACAATATACGTATATGATTTTGTTTATTAGCATTAATTCAGTTGAGTATAAAGATTTTGATTGATCATTTAAATGAACTCTTTAAGTTCGTGATTCTGTTTCTTATTTATTCTTGCTAATTTAGCAAGTAAATCCAAACTTTAGTAGTATTTAAAATAAATTATAATTACATAATGCTACTCATATTTTTTAATTTGTATTCAACTTAATTATATATAAAGATCTTTTAACCAATATATTAAAATTTGTAAATTTATAGATTTGTTATCTATATTAATATAACTTGTAATTGGTATATCAAAAATAAGCTACTTTATAGTGCGTAAATTTAAACTGTTTAAATTGCTTATTTTAATTATTATTTTTATTTATTTATTCACTATAACTAAAATACATGTTATTTTCATTAAATAAAAAAATTATAATTTATCTGGCAATTAGTAGGGTATCTAGAATTATGCAAAAACATTAGATGCACATAATTTATCAAATTTTCACATCTTGGATGCTTCATATAATTGAACAAAAAGAGCATCTGTGTCATGTATATAGATTGTAATTGGTAGATAAGTGATTTGATAAAGATAATGAATAAACTTAAATCAATTTTAAAAGATCACATAAATTATTAAAATCACATAATCAAGGAAATATATATATATAATTAATATATAGTTATCATAATATCAGTTACAGGACATGTCCTTCTTCAGGGTTTTAAATGCTGTTACTTATAAATCAAATGAGTTGATTCACTTAATTTTATATATAAATTTATATAAAAATATTATTTAAATTAAATTTATTTAAAAATATACATATAAACCTTTCTTTAAATTTTAAATTTATATTTTTTAGCATTTAATATCTTTAATCTAAAGTTTTAGTTCTTAATTTCAAGTAGTTTTAAAAGAATCTTCCTTTAAATTTGATGTATTTTTTATTTTTATAACACCTGTAAAATTATATTATTATTTAAAACAATAATATAATTGATTAAAATAATCTTTTAAAATTTAAAGAAAGTTCTACTAAGTAAAAGTTTCTTTTAGCTTTAAGTAAGGTTAAAGAGAAAGTTCTTTTGATTCTAATA